TATGCAACAATTGGACAGACCTGATCTTAAAAATGTGCAGAGGTTTGATCTTCCAGCAGGACAACAACCCTCTACATATAGCCTGAAATGGATTCCAGACCAAAATCAACACCAGCACGTGAACATTTATCTTCACCCTCCCTACAATCTGACTGAGTTTGAGCCATTTTTAAAGGAAATTCTAACATTGCAGCAAAAGAGGGTGGTACAAAATAGAGCTAAAACAATGAATTGGACTAACCACGGTTAATTGATTATTCAAATAACCAAATACTAATTTATACTGCAAAAAAATTAAATCTCAATACGTCATTTTTTTCTTAAAATAAGTGCATTTTTTCTTGAAGTGAGGAGGTAAGTGAGACACTTTGCCAATGGAACAAGACAATTTACATTTAAAGTAAGAAACAAAACAATTGCATGTCTTATTTCAATTACATATTATCTAATTATCTTATATTAAAGTCATAGGGAAGTCATATTTAAATTTCAAATCAGGCAAAACATGTATATCAATGTACTCTTTATCAGACCATATTGTCCCAAAAGTTAGAAAATTTCTATTTTTAAAAAAATCCTCTTAATTTGCATTTTCTTTTTTTTTTTCGTTATCTTCTGCAGGCCAGTTAAGTTATACGTCAATTTGTATACCTAAATTCGGCCAATCATATATCAAAGGTCATCTGTCAATCAATTTTTCCGGTCATAGCATCTTCATTCATATGTCGCAGCTAATATACGCAACGGTTGAAATAAGGAATAGGAATAGTTTACTTTCCCATTAAGTTACGTCCCAGATTTAATGGGGATGGACGTCTGTGTCTTTGGCAGGCGTAGAGCTAACAGAACTTGCAGCGTTGCGAGGCAAGGGCTCAAACATGTACGGCCGTAAGCCTTCTACACCAAACCAAGCTTCTGCCCCCCTGGCGTCCTCTTCCACAACATCTTCGTCCCCGGTTTTCTCAACTAAATAAAAAATGTATCACAGAGGAGAGTCATCCACGACCTCCGACACAAAACTCTCCTCCTCTTGCATATTTCCGCTGTCCATAGCGTTCCTTGACAGTGTCGTTGCTAAGTGCTACTTGGTCTGAATGTAATTTCCCATTGGGAACCTACTAGCACTAATTTGCTAACTGGTTAGCAAGATGCTTCCGAGACACCAGCCACAACCAAACTGCTTGCAAACCTTCCGCCACAACAATCCCGCCCCTTGATAATCGACCAATCACATTCACTTTATTCACTCGTGTAAAGTCGGGCAGCACTCGGGAGAATCCACTGGCAGATCATCTTATTTACCTGCTCAAATTAAGGGTAAACACACCTAATTTAAGAATTTTTTTCTTATTTCTAGATCTTTTTTGCCGGCACTTTGCATTTCAGATGAAAAATGTCCATTGTGGTTGAATATATCCTATCCAGAACTCCTAAAGTAGCATAGTTTTAGCTTTAGCAGGTTTAAATTCTGTATAAAATCCTCTATAAGGCCTTTTTAGGTATCGGATTATTAATTGCAAAAAAAGATTAACTAATTAACACATTAATGCAATAGACTCATAGGGGAAAGAAAGCAACCACACTGTCCGAACTTTCATTTACACATCCGCCACACTTTGTGATGGTTTACGGAAGTGGATGAACGTACAAAAAAGTTTAAAAGGGTATGTATACTTTTGACTGTCAGCCATTTTGAATCTAAATGGGTCCTCCAAAAGAAGAAAAATAGAAAATAGCTCCTTAATGATGAAAATCCATATGTTTACCCTTTTATCTAATGTGCACTTAAAAGACTGCGGTCCATGAATTGCGGCATGCATATCTAATTAATTGGCTCAACTACTTTGGGTATCTTAAAGGAAAAAAAATATGAATAGTCTTGGGCACTTTGAGTAAAATATGCTAATTAACGCACTTGAAATTTCCCATATGAAATCTATCTGCAGCAAGACAATGAGAAAATAATTACAACAGAGGTAGAATTACAATGACCGTTTTAATCAACCCCTGCACTAGCATTTCACCCTATTTATACAGTTTTTGATTCCATGACCCACTGGTAAGTAATCACTTGAAAATTACGGTGCAGTTTATAATAGGCCTTTGCTTCAGAGGCAGTATTTCTGCAAAGACAGGGCTCTGGGGATTACAATAAAGATATGAATCTTGCAAAACAACAATCAGCACGCAGCTCTAATAACTGGCAGAAAGACTCACAAAAAAGCAAACTGACATGAGGTTAAAAGTCTTTAAGTACTCCAGGCACTTTTCAAACCGCATAAGATGATGTGTGGGGTTCAAATCCACACTAGATGAACATGTGTCTAATTAAATGCTGTATTTACAAAGTCAGGTAAAACTGTGCAAACCCATACGACTAAATCCTTTCTCTTTCTGTGATTTAAACTCATTTCCAAAAGGCAATCTCTTCTTAAATGATCAGAAAGTTTTATTTGTACCACCAATGAGCAGATTCTGAGATTCACACAAAGATCAGGCATTCAATTCAAAAGAGAGTGGTAATAGTTGACCTTTCTCCATCATTAAAGTTACACTAACAAAAAAATATAAGGTCACTTTTATCTACCAAAGAAATTAAAAACTATAATGCAATCTGGTGAATATTGTGATGATAAAACCCTAAAAACCTGCTGACTTATTCTGAGGTGGTGGCTGAAGAGGATAGGCACTGTTTGCACAGATATCAGCCGCTTGAAAGTCCAGAACCGACTGTTGAGGAATGTCTGTCTGTCTCCCCACAGGAATTCTCCCACCTCACCCTGGATGGCAAATCTACCGAGACTCTACCCTCTGAGAAAAGCAATGAAGGCTACTGTCTAACAAACCAGAAACAATATCTTTCACGGACATTTCTTCCTGGGAAAACTTTGATAATTTTCTAACATCCAGAGTCCCTTTAGACCATTTTAATGTACTTATAATTTGTAGTTGTATCAAATACAGTTCTATGAAAATGCATGGCATAAATGATGGATGAGAAAAAGTAAAGATAATGGGCAGGAGTGCACAATACTGCTAATGTAAGCAGCTGCACTATTGTTAAATACTTTGATGCCCGTAATGATTGAGATTTCATCTGTGTGGTGTCTCTGCTACTATCAGAACAGAAGGAAAGAAGGGTAATCATGAATTTGAATTGATAGACGAATGCATAAAATAAAATAAAATAAAATGGCTTAAATCTGTCTCTACAAATTCCGGTGACTGCATCTATTTCAAATGACTACCATTTTGGGAATTATGCAACCGCTGCCAATTCTAGGTACTGGTTTACAACAAGGCCCGAGTGATGTAATGGTGGACTTGTCAAAACAGTGTTATCAGGAATGAAATAGGATCGTCGGTGTTATCAAAACAGCATAATGGGCTTCCTCTTGTAGAGAAAACTCACAGTCTAGATACAGTACACAAGCTCTAAATCAGACAGCCGGGGGGAAAAGAAAAGCGCGAAGACTGAGACGTAGGCAGGCAGATGATTTCTTATTGATTTCCTGTTTCTGTGCTGGAAAGGGCTCTCAATTACCCCTGGCAGCAAGCGGAGGTCCCCCCTCGACACAGCTAAACTACAGTGGGCCCATGGGAGTCCATGATATAAATAAGGTAAGTTAACTTGGCCAAAATGGATTTTCAACATAGGGGGATAAAATCAATTACAACCAAAAAGTGATGTCAAAAACTTTAAACTAAACTTGAACTTTAACAGAACACATTAACAGCTTATATATATATATATATATATATATATATATATATATATATATATATATATATATATATATATATATATATATATATATATATATATAAATAAAATAAGTTACTACTAGTAATTACGCTTAATGAAAAACACGAAAAATAAAGGGGATTGAGGAAAATTTGCACTCTGTAAAAGTTAACAACTGTGAAACAAAAGGGAACTGTTGTCAGGAACAGTAATAATGAAAACAAGATCCTTATTACTGCAGCAATCAGCTGCTATTAGCTCATGTTGACACATTTCACTCCTCTCAGGAACAATGAGGCACGCGTACACAAAGCCTTTTAGTCGCGGTTCACTCTGTGACCTGCAATCTATATCTTTGCATGGAGTGGAATTACCATGCAACAAGGTTTAATTAGAACTGCTTCTAAATCAATGCCAAATTGCTGTTTAGTACAACCTTGCTGTGCTCCACATTTGCATAAAACAATATGATTAGATCAGAGTCACAAGAAAGTTTTTATCCTGATCCAGAAAAAATGTTTAGAGAGTCAATAAAGCATGTGATAATAGTAGTATGAAGCATTTCTGGAGCAGACTATGGTCTCTATACATTATTACCCATTTGTGATTATGTACATATGGAGGGATCATTTGCACAGTAGGAGAATATAATTCTTTTTCTCTTTTCTTCATACAAATGCAAACCTGGAAAATACTTCAACGAAAATGAAATACTTTCCCAGACTGCATACAAACCGTGCGAAGAGGTAAATATTTAGCAAAGGGGTAAAGAAACTGCATGTGGAACTCAATCAGTACACGAGGACAGCCAATACCACAAACCGGATTTCCCTTCTTCCAAAACATGTGGCAGAGGTTTTGGAGGAAGTAACAATGGCTGAAGGAGCCAAGTTTTGGTCATAACGTCATAATAAAACAGCAGGCATATTACACTCATATACCAGGAAACCAAGCAGATATCTACTGCACGTACTGTATTCCTGTAATTGGAAACAGTGAAGCTAATATTTTAGCTGCCTACTTGACCCTGACAGGGCAACAGTATGATAACAGCTATTCTTGAGAGGGAGAAATCTGCCATTAGAAATAAAATGGATTGAAATTAAAGCAAAAAAAAAGCAACCTAAAGCTGATCTGACATGTTAATGACTTTAACTCTCTTCCATTAAACGTTGTTGTTTCTCCTTGAGACAAAAAATAGCATAAAGATATTCTGCCAGTCGGCCACAGTTTTTCCAAGGTTATTAAAACTTACTCCTCACAGGCTTGTAATAATGATCCTTCTCTTCTGTCACGTGATTTTGTCCTTCAGCTGGTGGTTTCTTGGGGCACGGCGCTCTTCCTGATGATTCACTGTCACAAGCATCTGGAAGGGGAGTAAGGGGGGGGGGGGTCACAGGAAGTTGATATTAAATATGGTTTCAAAGGAAATATATAACTTGCTGCAGCTACCGGGGTGGTCAGAAGTTTAAATGCAGCCATCATGGACATGGATCTTGCTTTGCTTTGCTTTAAGGTTGTGTGTTGGTAAGGTTCATAATGAAATTTTAGAACTCATCTTTTTTTTAAGGAACTATAGCACTATAAATAAACCCCAACAGATATATAGTTTTAGTTTATTTATTTTTTTCTCTCCACTAACTTCTAACAAATAAAAGGTTAAATATATTATCACTCTTTATGGCATAAAAGGTAGAATTGATTTCAACATCTTGGTTAAGTGGCCCAATTTGAGGATAGACATTCAAATTTAAGGGTCTTAAACTGTCAACCACAGTGGTGCAGACATTATGATGTGGGTCATTTTGCTGCACATGGTAATGGTCTATTAGAGATATGGGCAATTCGAGTTCCTGAGGGCTGGTGTTCTGTCAGCTCAGCATACCACGTCAGGCCAACATACCCATAATAATACGCATACGCAACTCGTCAGATTTGTATATGCATTTGCAAACGCATTGGCTAGTTTGACACTATAAGTGTCAGATCAGCATACCCCGTCAGGCCAGCATCCCCAGGTTAGGGTTCCAGTTTGTGGGGGTGCCATCATTTCTCTGTCGGCCTGGAAGGCCTCTTCCTGGTTTCAACTAACCACACCTGCAGCTTGTTGGTCATTACCATCTGAGGAGTATATGAGCAGCGGAATGTCCCCATCTCCTTGCCAGAGTGTTAGCCAGTATTGGGTACTCTAGCCCCTCTGAGTTTAGCCGAGTCTAACCTTTGAGTTTTTGTTTCTCTTAGTCCTCTACTACAAACCTTTTGTCTCTCTTGTGATTTCCGGCAGGAATATCTCCTGATCAACTGGATAAGCCTGGACCTTCAAGCCTTGGAAGGAATTTGTTCGTCTCTCTGAGAGAAAGAAACTATTCACCTCATCAGTACGCAGTCCACTTCAGGAAAGCTTGTGACAGTCTGCTCTGCTGCTCCTCTGGACCACCATAAGTCTGCCTGTCTGCCCTCCAGCAAGTATTCTCCTAATCTGAACAAGCCCCCCCACAAACAGGAACCAAGGAGAAACCTCTAACCTCTACAGTGAGTCCTTATCGGGCTATGATTCAGTATTGACCTGTTTTTTCCAACGGACCTTGAACTCACCACTCTGATCTTCTCCTAGAGTTTCCGCTTCCGGTTCACCAGACCGCTGGATTTTCCCCAAGCTGTGAAAACCATTGTTTTGTCTTTCTGATCTCCCCACTTTTCAATAAACTGTTGAACTTTTTCCAAGCCTCTGAGTTTGCTTCTGCATGTGGGCTAAACATTTAAAACCCATCATGACAACCCGTAGTAATACCCATAGAGTGTCCTCTGTTTCTGCTCTCCTTACAGCCAATCACGCTGTTTTATTTCCTGATTTAGTTAGGTTATTGTTGTAGTTTTGTGCATAAAACAACAAAAAAAAGTCCTTCACTTGGTCCACTACTAACATTAGCTTAAAAAAATTTGTTGCAAGTCCGTTTGACAAGGATCTTATTAAAGAATGATCAGCATTTTAAGAATATCTCCAGGATTTTATACAAATTAACTTAGAAATGCTATTTCTAACATTTTCATTTTCATATATAACGTATGTGCAATCCCTGTAAAATTACATGATATAAAAAAATTAAATACACAACAAAATTATAAAGTAATTTGATCATGGAGTGAATTATTCTTTTAATGCCAACATTGAACAAGATTATATTACTTTTTTATGGGCTAACTACAACCTTGCTAGTAGTAGGCATCTTGCTCACATTTTATTCACTTCAATTAATCTTCCTACTGCTCCGCAAAGCTGCTGTATCCAAGATGACGTAATGTCCAAATCAATATCATCAATGGCTGGGCAAGAGGTGTGTTTTGTACACGTTTTGCAGATGGCTGCAGGTGCAGCTAGTCCCTTTTCTAATTACACTTTAAACACCTTAAACCTGTGACTATCCCTTTAGTTTTGTATGAAAAAACTATTTAATCACTACTTTCGGGGTTTTTTGAAGGGTATGAAGTCTGACAGCTCATCCATGCGCGCATGCGTATTACTATGGGTATGCTGGCCTGACGCGGTATGTTGAGCTGACAGAAACACCGGTATCCTGCAACTTTTAGATCAACCCTTGGTCCAACACACCTGAACCAAATGACAGAGTAACCTAGTCAGTTCCTCCAGAGTCCTCTCAATCATCTAATTACTTGATTCAGGTGTTTCGAAGAAAAAGGCACATCTAAAAGTTGCAGGATACCGGCCCTCAGGAACTGTAATTGTCCACCCCTGGTCTATTGCATAAAGTAGACAGAATAACAAATCACAGAAACGCTCTAAAATCAACAGCAAACCGTATAAGGTTCTAAACTTAGAGAGCAATAAACATATTTGCACCAAAAGTTAACATTCCCTGTTGGGTTAGTCATAATGGATATAAAAGCTGCATAACTTGAAGGTGCAAAAGGTCGCTCTGTTTTTTTGAAGCCAGCGAAAACAACCTCCTGGCAAACTGTGCGATATGGTGGGACGGTTAAGGTAAAAGTCCTTGCCAGAGCTCTGGATCTCATTTTCTCTCTCCCACTGCTCCCGGGTGCATTATACCTGCCAAGATTCTTTTTACTTTTATAAAGGCTGCATTCATTTGAATTGGAAAAGCATCCAAGCAAAAAAAAAAGAAAAGAAAAGAAAAAAGAACTGAACTGATAGCCATGCATAAATAACAGAAATGTGTCTCCTTAAGCGGCTTCCTAAGTTCAAAACTATGTCTTATTTATCGCATATTGTTACTTTGTTGTTAAACCAGGCCATTAAACGCTTTGATTAGCAGACCTGATGCAGCTTTGCTTCAGTTGCAACAACAATCCTGTTTATATAAGCAGTGCTGGATGAGTAACCAGAGGTTTGAGAGAGAAAAGAAATACCTCAGCTTGGCGTGGAAGTATGGTGAGATCAATTGCTGTATTTAGTGATCCCAGTTAACTAATCCATCTATTCCCAGCAGACCAAAGGCCACTGAGGGGGAAAATCTAGTGTCAACCATGAACAATCACCTAAAACAAAAATGGAATCCATTTAGCAACCCCATGCGATTGCTTATTTTATCCACCTTTTTTTATTCTTTCTTAAACAGCACTATAATGATGATCGGTTAATGGTTCGTTGCTTGTTTGAAGAAAAATGAAAAGCGGGTGTGGGGCTGAGCTTATTTTACATGTGATAATCTTAGGGGCAACTGGAAAGTTAATTAAAAACTATAATTGGCTGTGTGGTTACTGTTAATAGTCAGCAGGGTGTTTCCTCTAACTTTATTAAGGGAAAAAAAAAAGCACAAACATCAAGGCTTTGAGACAAGAACACAGATAATGTCTTTTACAAAAAATTGCCTTAAAGTATGAAAAATGTGATCCTAATGCTACTTTCATTCATGGCTTTTCTTCCTCACAGCTTCAACTTCAACAGGATGTTGCCTAATAAACCGAATATGTAATCATATATTTATAAGGCAGTTTTATCAGTAGACGCATTGAGGAAGAACTGGACATACACATCATGAACTATTTATGGGTTTCTTGCATTTTAGCTTCCAGCTAAAAGTGATCATGGGTTGGCCCTAAACAAACAGCACTCTGGGCAAGGCGGTCCATCTAAAACTTTTTTTTTAATAAAAATAAACAAAAGGAGAAAACAAATTAAATAAAACTCCAATTAGAACTTTAATTCAATGCAAAGTAACCTAATTTTCGGACTGATAAGTCATATTTCTTTACATGCGTTAAGCCTTTTTTATATCAGAATCTAACTTCAGCACCACTGGTTAGTATCCATGACCCCACTCTCCACTGACCTGCCATGGCTGCAAAGAACTAATTATGATTTTTTTTAAATAGATTTTTGTCTGCACATTTACTGGGTATTTGATCCTTTCTATTAACATTTAAAAATATATAACTGGCAAAAGTTTTGCAGTTTTCATATGAGACTCTGATCTGGAACCATTTTCTGTTCCTTATCTGTTCAAAAAACAAGACATTCTACAGTAAGATTAACCCTCCTTCAGGCCCAAAACAATTAGGAATGTCCTCCCTAACCCATAAATCCCTCAATCGCTATATAGAGCGGGGACTGTAAGCTGGACTTTATAGTGAACTCAGTTAACTGACCGTTCATATCTACATTTCGCTCCTTGTTGGTCATGTAACTCCGCCTCCCCGCACAGTGCATGCTCCATTCTTTGTTCTTTCCTGCCACCATACCAAATACCATGATGCTTTGAGAGGAGAGGTCTCGCAAAGCATTCTGGGATATATTTGGTCTTCTACTAACCATTGATGTACACTATTTTTCAAGGTGCATTGTGGGAAATTTCGAGTCCACTACTTTTTAATCCACTAGACGTTCATACACTCCTCCAAAATGGGGTAACTACTATATAGTGCCTTATGTAGTGGTTAGAGCGGACGTTCAGACACAGCCAGAGATGTATGCCAGTTTATATCCAAACTGCACCAAATCTAATTTTTTATAAAAAAAAAGTTTTTGTAATGTCTTGTTTTGATCCAATTACCTTCTTTATGTAAATTGTATGAACGATCCAAAAAAAAAAAGGTTTTAATTCTGACTTGCGTAAAGCTTCTAAACTAGCCGGCTATGTGTGGCAGAGAAATTATTATTGGTTCACTTTCATCATTCTCCTGCTTGTTGCATAATATTCTAGGGGTGTCCCGATAAAAGTTTTTGTTTCTTCCCGCTAGAATAAAATTGCAACTTTGACAATTGACAGATACTAATATTAATGCAAATTAAATATATATATATATATATATATATATATATATATATATATATATATATATATATACACTCACCGGCCACTTTATTAGGTACCCCATGCTAGTAACGGGTTGGACCCCCTTTTCCCTTCAGAACTGCCTCAATTCTTCGTGGCATAGATTCAACAAGGTGCTGGAAGCATTCCTCAGGGAGTTTGGTCCATATTGCCATGATGGCATCACACAGTTGCCGCAGATTTGTCGGCTGCACATCCATGATGCGAATCTCCCGTTCCACCACATCCCAAAGATGCTCTATTGGATTGAGATCTGGTGACTGTGGAGGCCATTTGAGTACAGTGAACTCATTGTCATGTTCAAGAAACCAGTCTGAGATGATTCCAGCTTTATGAAATGGCGCATTATCCTGCTGAAAGTAGCCATCAGAAGTTGGGTACATTGTGGTCATAAAGGGATGGACATGGTCAGCAACAATACTCAGGTAGGCTGTGGCGTTGTAACGATGCTCAATTGTTACCAAGGGGCCCAAAGAGTGCCAAGAAAATATTCCCCACACCATGACACCACCACCACCAGCCTGAACCGTTGATACAACGCAGGATGGATCCATGCTTTCATGTTGTAGACGCCAAATTCTGACCCTACCATACGAATGTCGCAGCAGAAATCGAGACTCATCAGACCAGGCAACGTTTTTCCAATCTTCTATTGTCCAATTTCGATGAGCTTGTGCAAATTGTAGCTTCAGTTTCCTGTTCTTAGCTGAAAGGAGTGGCACCCGGTGTGGTCTTCTGCTGCTGTAGCCCATCTGCCTCAAAGTTCCACGTACTGTGCGTTCAGAGATGCTCTTCTGCCCACCTTGGTTGTAACGGCTGGTTATTTGAGTCACTGTTGCCCTTCTATCAGCTGGAACCAGTCTGGCCATTCTCCTCTGACCTCTGGCATCAACAAGGCATTTCCGCCCACAGAACTGCCACTCACTGGATGTTTTTTCTTTTCCGGACCATTCTCTGTAAACCCTAGAGATGGTTGTGCGTGAAAATCCCAGTAGATCAGCAGTTTCTGAAATACTCAGACCAGCCCTTCTGGCACCAACAATCATGCCACGTTCAAAGTCACTCAAATCACCTTTCTTCCCCATACTGATGCTCGGTTTGAACTGCAGGAGATTGTCTTGACCATGTCTACATGCCTAAATGCACTGAGTTGCTGCCATGTGATTGGCTGCTTAGAAATTAAGTGTTAACAAGCAGTTGGACCGGTGTACCTAATAAAGTGGCCGGTGGGTGTATATGATTCTGATTACGGCTGCAACTAACAATTATTTTCCAAATCGATTAATCTATCAATTATCTTTTTGATTAATCGATTAATAATCGGATAGCAAAAGGTTTCTTAAAGTAGATCTTTTATGAAATTAACTCAGGTGAAACTAAAACATTTCCACTTGAGGAGTTCAGGATAGAGCATATTGACGGACAAAAAAGATTTTCCTCTTAAATACAAAATGTTTTTATATTTCTTTAAAATTTGTATTTAATTGCTGCTCTAATTGCTCCGTCAGCTAAACGCATGTTTTACAGTCTCAGTACGCTAGTTAATGATTAATCAATTACAAAATTAGTTGAAGATTATTTCAATAATCTATAATTGCAATTAATCCAATTAATTGTTTCAGCCCTAAATCCGATATTAATTTTGTGATTAATATCGGACCAATATCTGATATCAATATGGTATCAGGACACCCCTATAACATTCAATTGTAAAATTCAGCAAAATGTGTGGGTTTTTTTTAACTCATGTCTCTCCCTCTACACTATTATATTCTCAAAAAGGGTTTCAATGTAATTACGTACAAGTGATACTGAAAATTATGAAAGTGGTATTTCCATTTGATGGAGTTTACACAGTAGTTTAACTGTTATTTTATCAGTTATAACTTCAGTCATGTTGGTCCCTGAACTGATCACTGTGATCTCCCCTTCAGACTTTCCAGTTCCGGTTCACCAGTCCACTGATTTTCAGATCCAACTTCTTTTATTCATCTACAATTAATAAACCTGTTAAACTTTTTCTTTGGTCTCTGAGTGGTTCTTTGCATGTGGCTCAGAACGCTTAAACCAATCATGACAATATAAGTCTAGCTCCGAAAGAGGATGAATTCTGAACTAATCATCTCTAATTTTGGTATAGTGATGTGCATAATTAACCACAGCGTTTTTGTTGTCAAGTAATTGCTAATATATATAAAATAATTTTTTTTAATATTCTACTTTAGAGAAAAAAAATGGTAGGGGTGGCTACAGGGGTGACCATGGCCACCCCTGACCCCCCTTATCTAGCTCCGCCCCTGCCTGAGCCTTACTCCTTATACAGCATATGTATTTATAAAAAATAAAAAAAGGTTGCATGGAACCCTGCACTTAATTTTAACCCACTAAATATACGTCCAAAGCCGCTGATTAATGGGCTGTCTTGTGCTTTCTTACCGTGCGACCCTGACAGCAGGGGACTAGTCTCTTGCCGGGGGCCCTGTCCTGGCCCCACCGGCCATTCTGATGGATGGACAGTCTCCTTGGACATGAGACAGACGTCCTCTTCCAGAGGAGAAAAAAAATATAGAAACCACCAGAAGCAGCAGAAGTAGTTCCTCCCTTTTTTTCCCTCTCCCTTCAGCCCTCAGTCCTGCAAAAAGCAATAAGTCTCACAATCAGCGCAGAGCTGAAGACACAAAGCCAAACTATGGAAGTCATTCCTCAAACTGCGCATTCACGCGCACAGAAAAATGACGTCGAGCCGCTGTTAAACTTAGTGGAAATTTCCCTTCGTTTTTTTCTTCTTTTACATAAACCGTCCTGTAATACTTCACAAGCAGCCAATTTATTCACAACTTCTTTTTTTTGTTTCATAAAAAAGTAGAAAAGTTCAATCTTACGGCAGATTTACTGTTTGTATAATCCGACTTACCTTTCAAACATGACAACTCCCTCACTTCAGATCTGACTTATTCCCATCCTTCCTTCAACTGTTTCCTCAAAAAAGTCAGGCAGTAAAAATAAAACTTGAAGAATGGCTTTACAGACGAGAAACTTTTCCAATGTTAACTCTTAAAAAGTTCACAGTCCTAAATATCCCAGATGAGTTTTTGACGCTCTTATCCTACTGACGCCTTGGGCGCGCAGTTGCGCTAAGTTTACTCAGGTCTGAAACATTTTTCATCATATCCGGATTCCTGCAGCTCAGGGAGGAAAACAAAGCCCTCCCTGTTGATGTTTACCAAAATTTATGTTAGAAGAGAGAGAGAGGAAAAAACCGAGTTAAATAAATCTGCTTAATGGAAATTTCTTATACAAGGCTGTGGTATTTAACTCATTATACTTTGAAAATAAACATTTCAAGCCAATAGCGTTATTGGAATCCAGGACAAGACCTTATTACCTTTTTAACATTAAAAAAATATGGATATTGCTGGCAAAAATTAATGTCTATGTAATAACAAGCAGGGGCGGAGCTAGATGGGGGCGATGGCCACCTCTGTGGCCACCCCTACCATTTATTTCCCTCTAATTCATATATAAACAATTACTTGACAACAAAAACACTGGGTAATAATTATGCACATCAACTATACTAACAATAAAGATGTTAAGTAGAAAATTAATGCTCTTTTCAGAAATAGATTTAGTGTTTTATAGGGTAAAGAGAAAATGTGTCTGCAAGTCATCTAGGGTTCTTCTGTGAAATCATAGATTAAAAAAAACTATTTTAATAAAAAGTTATTAAATTATCAATGTATGTTGATATTAGTATTTGTAAATATCAATTGTATGCAGAATAATAATGACAATGGAAAAGATGTTCGGCCAAAACTCAAACCTGAAAGAATTTTATCCACTATACCTTTTATCTGGAAAGCAGATATTTGAATATATTCCTCTATTTGTTAGTAAAGGCTGTGGGAAAGTATAGTTTGTCTTTATTTAGAAAATATGGATGTTTTACTCGTTAATTTTCCTGTTGGAAGAGTGTAGATTGACCCTGAGGTTCTGGCGCCTATCAACTTTTGGCCACCCCTCAGTGTACATTGGTTAGTGCCTGGCCACCATTATAAAAAAAAAATCTAGCTATGCCTCTGATAACAAGAAACGCCAAGTTGCCTGAATATATTAAGTATAATAACAAATGTGCTTCTATAAGAAATTCATTTAAAAAAAAACTCTGAGTGAAAGAAAAACTATTTTTTTGGTATGACATGTTCTTTTACAGATTAAATACATTTTAAGTTTGGGATATTGGAACCAAATGTTACTATATGATTGGACAATACTGGAATAAATTGCATTGATCAGAAATTAATTTGGACAAGTTAACATTGACATGTATAATTTAAAGTTACTGTTAAAACATACTTTCTAATTATTTGTATACTAATATAGCAGAGCCTTGAAAAGAACTACCTTATTGCTTTGGCAGTGTTCTGCCATAGACCTTGCATACCCATTTTTATGATACTGTTAACACTTATTTCTGCATAAGAGAAATAGATATTTTACATGTTTGTGTCCTAAGGTTATCAAAGTTGACAAAGTTAAGGATGGGTTCATTCAAGGTCAGGAGTCAGGTACAGGGAGAAAGCATGAGCAATCCTTATATCATCCAAATGGAATGTAGACAGTAGGGACGACACCTAAGTGTAACAAACTGTCTGCTGGGATGTGGCTGTTGTACAAAACAGAATCAAAAAGCAACTTAGAAACTATACTGAAAAAACCCTTTTAAAATGTAACTAGCTCAGGAAAACATGTTTACATACTGGGATGTTTTTAGGCTCTGTTACTGTAGGACTGTTAACTTAAAGCAAGAAGTTCCCGGGTTCAAATCCCCACCTGGGTTCTCTCTGGTTTTCTCCTCCAATTTGCCACCTTTATTTTTGGTTGCATATCATGAATTAACAAGGTCACATCAAAGTGGCTTAAAAGACGTAAAAAGGCTCTCAAAGCATAGTTGTGGCCTAGTCAAAGTGCAGACTTTAATTTGATTTTAGATGTTGTAGCAACACATAATATAGGTTGCTCATGCTATAGAGGTTAAAATTCCTCTATAGCAATGTAATATATGTATAGCAAGTGTCATTGTCAGTAAGTGTAGAAACTTCTTGAGAGTAATGTCATTTATCTCAATAGCAAGCTATTACAAAAAGTTGAATGTTTCCAGATTTATAAAATGTATTCAAGAAAAGCCCCAAAGATTTGGAAAGCCCTTTTTGCAGTGTGGTGCTGGGAAGTCACGGGAGCTTGCCTGTTGTATTGTTTGTTTGGGGCCAGACTCCCTGTTCTCCCAGCAAAGCGGGGATTAGGCTTGTCTCAGCGTTCGCAACGACTGAGCCGGAGCTCCTCTTCGCCACTACACACTCCAGCAATCAGGCAGGCTGCCAAACAAACAGATGAAGTCAACAGAGAGATGCTTCCTCGTGTCTTCTGAGATGTGACTGCAACAGATGCAACGCTGACACCGCGCACTTGACATAGTGTGACAACCCTACTGTGTCTACACAGCCAGCTCCACTTTGACTTATTTTGAAAGGGGAGGTGGGGGGGTGACATTGTGCACATGATCACACACAAGATAATGTTTGTCAGCAGCAACACTGGTGCCACTGTGTAGAATACAAAGACTGACAACAGGGGTTGATTTCACGGTGCAGTCATGTTGCGTGTACTGTACTGTACTGTACTTAAAAGATTTTCATATAGAGGTGGAGGAGGGGTGTCCAATAGAGACTTTGCTCTGATCATAATTTATTCCCCAGAAATGGTCATCACAGAGGTCAAAATCTAATTACTTGAATGCATTTTCAACCTTTTTTTTCTCCCTTCTACAAATTTTAACAAAGCCACCCGGATCGTATGAAAGCACTGCATGATGGTTACTGGAGTTCCGAGTTAGTCTTAGGGATGGAGTGAGGGAGTTTCAGTATCCAGGTAATTACAGTCTGAGGGGGCACAGAGGTCCTCTGTGATTACACATCATGCCTGTAATGGATTCAACACCAACAGACGTAGAAAGCGAGAGAGGCAGAAAGGGAGCAAGCTGGATTCCTTACTTTCCCCCATTGTGACGGCTGAGAGGATGGGGAGGCTGAGGGCTGGCAAGGTAGGGTGGGCTCGGGGTAGGTATATCTGCAAGATGGATTACGTGGGGTTTGCCGAGTTCAACATTGACACAGATTCATCGTAAATCATTATGCTAGGGACCCGGAGTGATTTCTGCATTAGGAACAGAAAATGGAGTTCATCCAGTCAATGAGGGAGGGCATATTTCACATCAATCACCTCCACACTCATGTTACTGAGGCTTAAATCTCACTTATGCTGTTACCAATAGGGTTCAATGGCTAGGATGACAATCAGCAGAGACTGTGCACTAACAGTAACCTACTGACTACAAAGAGGGCAGAGGACGGCAGCTTGGTGGCTGATCATTACAAGTAAATATATGAATTGAAATTGAGCATAAAGGAAAGTTTCAGGTAAAAATATGAGCATTATAATTTCCCTTTTTTGACTAAGATCGGTTGCCAAAACTTTATATATTTATTGCAACATTTTTTACACTCTTTAGAGATGTAGGTCACAGGAGTGCAAGCTTGAATGAAGTCAACCAGACATTCTACATGCAGACAAAGCAAGGACTGAGAAAAGTGTCATTCTTTGTTCCCTCCTCTGACATTGGAATGATTTAACTTTTTCCTGATTTAATTTGTAAAAGTGTAAAACTAACTTCAATTAAGTTATTTTATCACCAGACATTAACAAAGGTCTACAGTACCAACAACAAAATCCTCCACATATATATCACTACTGTGCTGATGAAATTGTTCTATTTATATTAAGATGGATTAACTTTACTCTCCTTAGAAGTTTTGGGCATTTCTTAAAGATAGAAGAAAGGTAAATAGGATGTAAATAAAGGCAAAGGTTCATTTCAGATGAAACTAAAACAGTTTGGGCAAACAATGCAGACCAAGATTCATCCACACAGCACATTCTTTAGTAAATGAACTCAGTATCATTGTGAAAAAATAAATAAAATTAACAGAGTATCATCTATAAGATAAGGGGCGTCCTTTCCCAATGCAAAAAAAAAACTCCTTAATAATAAAAAAAAATAAAAAAATTATTTAAACTATTTAAAACTTACAAATTATGCTCAATTCACAGCCCTAGTGGGTATTAACAGTTTAAATAATACCAAGCAAAGAAAAATTGGGAAAGTTTTGGGCAAAACTACATTTAACTCATCCGTAATCATACAATGAGCTCCAAATGCAATACTACTTTAGACACATTTTAATGTAAATAACAAAAATATAAAAAGCCTCCTTATGATCCAACTCTGACTAAAAGCATTATTATTAATCTGCTTGAAATCTTTTAAGGAACTTTTGTGACACAAAACAAGTACGAGTAGGGATGTCTACAGTTTCTAAAAGTTTTAGTTTCATAATTTTTTTTACCTCTGATTTTCAGTTTTATTCTATTTCTTATTATTTTTTTTTAGAATTTCTTTGTAAAATACCTATAAGGACATGATGCTGCAGCAACACAAATTACCTGACTACCTTAGTTGCCATCTGTTGCGTAATGCAGCAAAAAAAAAAAAAAACATCAACCGGAAACCAGACTTCATATTGTTTTATGGTAGACACAAACAAAAATTAAGCACATTCTCTCTTAAAATTCACATAGTTTTAATTAGTTCTGGAAACACATTACAGTTTTAGTTAGTTTTTTTGCCAGGTCTATTTTTTATTCTCAGATCAGTAAGCAAAGATGTCTTTTAATTCTGTTTTTTGTTTTTGTAATTTCATTAGTTTTAGTTAACGACAATAACCTTGATAAAAAAAAAAAAATACATAAACAAAACGGCACTGTATGATTTTTCTGGATATATCCTGGAACATTAACAAAGACCATACAGACATCATTATGCTAATATAGCTCTGGAAAATCTCACAAGATCTTATTGTTGCTTTGCTGTGCAGAGAAGCTGAATAACAGGCTCTTGGACAGTGAGCTTCAAACTAGCAACTGCAGCTTTAAGCATTAAATAAAAATACATCAACATATAAATACAGTTTTACATTTGAGATCAATTAATCCGTATTTTAAATCACAACTAATATTGTGATATTTCCCAGAATAAATTTTTCTTTACTCCCCTACTAACTACT